TAATAACATAAAAACTAATAAAGATAAATTAAAAATCTTTTTATAATTTTATATATGGCATTAAATTCTCTATAATATGATATACTTCTGGTAGTGATAACTTAATTATTACTAAAGTTATTAACAAAATAAAAATTAATATTTTTTTCAACTATATCTAACTTGTTTGGTTTATAATTAAGTCATTATATTATGAATTTTTATAAATAAAACATAATATGATAGAGAATTTAATGTACAATCTACTTATAAAAAATAATTAATAATACTCAAATAGTTTTTAAATAAATTAAAATTTTCTTTCATAAAACACATTTTTACTATTTTTAGACCGCTAAACTTAACTTAATACAAATCACACAAAACCAAGAAGTAAAACCGAATCCGAATTTGAATGCTCAAACGCTCAGGCGATTAACTCGGTTTCTACCCTTGGCGCAAGAACCCTAAATTCACCCTTCACATACAGGATGATACGATAATAGTTTCCATCACTGCAAACTAGTATGACTCCTCTAAGCTGGGATTCAAGAGGATAAACTAACACTACCACGACTACAATCACCCAAGTTGGGTATATTTGTTGATTTGTCCTTTTGCATCTCCTCGTCCTTGCTACCCTCCCTCAGTGAAATTATATTCTGTCAAGGTTAACACAAGGTACGAGACGTGTTTATGTCGTACTCGTAGTGCATCTGTAGTGGTAGTATTAGTGTTTGTGTAATTTCTGTTTATGTTTATGTTTATATTGTGCTTTCTGTGCCTTTGCGAAAGGACGACAGGATGAAAGCACGCTAGGTGCTTTGCCTCAGATGTTGCTCCAGCTCATTTGCGAAGTGCGGTCGGCGCAGATAAGCTCCAAGGACAAACGCTCTTAATTAAACAAATACAAAAGTTAAATAAACGAAATTAAATTTACAAAGTAAAGGAATTAGGAATTTTTTGTTTACAGAATAATATTTTAAAAGAATTTATGAGAATTTTATCTTTAAAAGTGGTTAAAACTGGAGGAAAAAAAATTTGGTGGAGGCGCCGGGCATTATGCGCCTCCACCATAATTTAAATATAATTTTTTCTTACTTGAGAGAAAGAATATTGACTAAATAAATTTAAAATAATAGAAATAAATTTATTTTATTGTTTATTGTTGATATTTATAATTATTTAAACAATTTTTTAATTTTTTAAAAATAGTTTCAACCTGAAATAAATAATTTATTGCCAATATACAACCACAGCCACAAATTTAAACGTTGAATCTTTGACAGTTCCCGATTGCTACCTTCTGCCACACTGGCATACGAATTTTATCTTTAAAAATGCTGAAAACTTGAAAAAAAAAATTGTGGTGGAGGCGCCGGGCATTAGCGCCTCCACCATTAATTAATTTTACTTTTTTATTACTTGATGAAAACAACATTGACTAAATAAAAGTAAAATAATATAAATTAATTTATTTTAATGTTTTTAGTTAATATTTATAATTATTTAAACAATTTTTTTTTAATTTTTTAAAAATAATTTCATCCTGAAATAAATAATTTATTGCCAATATACGACCGCAGCCACAAATTTAAACGTTGAATCTTTGACAGTTCCCGATTGCTACCTTCTGCCCAACTGGCCTGTAAGCTCGAAAGCTCCGAAAGCTCTCGTATTAAGTTTAAATAATGATGAAGCACCTCCAGCCCAGCGTCCACTATTTCACCTCTAGCATTGCGCATCCTTTCGCACCGCTTCCGCAAAATACTCATACACTACACCCCTTTTTGCACTTGCTGAATCCGGTAAAGTGGTCGACTGTGAGTTGTGAGTGAATGCAAATAGATTCGTGGCCATATTTCCTCCTCTCACGCTCGCAGAGTCTCGAGCAAATTAAATTCAAGCCTCAATTTTCAGGCACCCCTCTCTGCAGGCTTTTGTGTGTGTGTATACGTGCGCTTCGATTTCCAACTTTGAACTCGAATATATCATCCCCTTAACAACATTAATGCCTATTGAAAATTGAATAACGTCACGCGTGTACACAAAGGGCACGAGTGGGTCAACAACGCACTGTGAGGGGGTATTTTTACACAACAGTACATTATTTGCATACAGAGGGAATATAGGGGTTAGATTGTGAGGGTAAATTTATAGATTATTGAGTTTTTGGAGAGAAAATTGAAAGTGAAGTGAGATTGTAATGGATATATTAAGAATAACGGTCTATAAAGAGGAAATATTTGATTTTTGAAGTTAAATTATTGATAACTTATTAAATATTAATAATATTTGAGATTTGCTTTAAGAAATTGATTTGGAATTAAATTCTTTATCAATTTATGAAAAATTTATAAAAATTGCATTATTATTTTAAAAGTTATCGACAAAATAAAATCAAATATTTATGTTTTATTAAACTGATTTTGTTTTGTTGATAACTATTTTGTTTTTAAGTGGATTTTTATAAGTAAAACAGCTTTTGATAGAGAATTTAATGCAGATTCATTCTATGTAATAATAATTGTTATTGTTAATAAAATGTTAATAATAATTAAAATTTTCTCTAAAAAATCAAGTTTTTATGTTTTTAGACCGGTAAACTGCACTTACTATTATATTTTAATAAATAATTTTCCATTTTCTTCCCAAAAATAAGTTTAACCTTACTTTAATCCACTATTTCCTTTTATTTTCAAGTATTTCACCAAAGCGGCTTTCCGATTTTTGGTATTTTTGGGTCAAAAAGCGGAAAAGCCCGAAATGGAAAATTTTAAATATGCAAACCCGCGCTTGCTGGCCGGAAAAACCAAAGAGCGAAAATACAAAGAGAGGATACGAGGAAGGACGACGAGGCGAATAGAAAATTTATTCATGAGTCGCGACCCTCTTGACTTGACGTGATTTTCGATACTTTGCATTCCTTTTGCCTTTTTTCCCTCCCGCATCCTTTCAGACCATTATTATTTTTCGTCTTTTTCGTTCACCTGACAGTTTTTTTTTTTGTTATTCATGTCTGATTTAGAAAATTCCGAAGGTAGCAAGCACTAGGCTGGCGGGCAAAATCAGAAATCCTTTAACAAGGATAACACGCACATGAAAGGATAATGCAAATAATGTCGTGTCGTCGCGGGGGCAAATAAATGAGATTTTGCTGATATTTTAGGATTCCAGGATTTACCGGAGTCAAAAATATGTAAATATGCAAATTGCTAGCGTAAATATCTGCAATAATCAAGAATTAAACAAGGAAAACTAAAAAAATCAAAAAATAATTCAAAAAAAAAAAATTTATTTCAACTTTGAAACTGAATAACTTTTGAACTAAATAAGATAAAATATCACACTAAACGTTATGTTGAACATAATTTTATCAGCTATAAAATAGCATATAAAAAGTTTAACAATATATTTTGACATCAACGCAATATTGACGTGAATACAAACGCGCGTGAGTGATATTTTCATAGGTTGTGTTTTCATTGTGTTTTGCAACCCGCACAACGCGCGCATAGACTTTATATTTTAAACACGTCGTGTTTCCGCACGTCTCTATTGTTTTCATTTCCATGTTAGTATTATTATTATTATTATTACTGCAATGTTAAAATAATAAAGTTCCTGTTTAATAAACAGTAGCCAGAGGCGGTAAAGCACAAAAACATAACATTTTAATTAAAGTTGTTATAACTTTTTAGTGACATTAGATATTAATGTTAGATAAAAATAATATAATAAAGAATTTAATTGGTTATGTAATGCATTTTACAGAATTTAAATTGATAATTTAACTTTTGTGTTATTTACAATTGAAATAAAAAAATATTTTTTTTGTAAAAAATTTATAATAATTTTAAATAATTTTTATAAATAAAACGCATATTGTTAATAAAAATAATTTATTTGTATCTTATTAAGAATTAAATATTCTTTATGGATCAGTTTTTACATTTAAAATATCTCTTACCGGAACTAATATATCCGGCATCAAAATCGTTAAACTTTTTATTTCCGCTCAATCCCACCGAATTTATATTTAATACAAAAACTTCTCTAACTTTTTAATGACAATTGATATTTGTCTGCACCAAAAACAATTATATAAAGAATTTAATTGACTATATAATCCATTCCAGAAAATTAAAATTGCCAGTTTAACTTTTGAGGTATTTGCAATTGCAATAAATAATTCAAATTTTTATAAAAAAATATGGAAATTATTTTTAATAATTTTTATAAATAAAATGCATATACTTTAAAAAAATAATTGATATGCATCTTATAAAGAATTAAATTCTCTTTAAGGACCAATTTTTATATTTAAAATATCTCTTACCAATCTCAAGATATCCAGCATCAAACTCATGAAAGTTTTTCCTCGCACTCAATCTCCCCGAATTTATTTTTAATACAAAAACTTTCCTAATTTCCACCGGAAACCCGCCATTTTGTCACTATTAATACACACGCCAGATAAAATTCAAAAGACATCCTTGATGTCCTCATAAATATCCTTCAATCTTGCTGAAAGACATCGACCATCATTTTACGAACTCGTCCTTTGTTTCTCGTCCTCGTCCTTAGAAAGGACGATTTGCAATATATAGGAAGAAGTATCGCGCAAATCGAATATAAAATAGTCGAGTCGACTATATGTCGCTGCGAGACGAGCAGGCATGTAAATTTCCCGAGGATATTTCCATGGAAATAGGATCACGGACGAGAAAGGACCTTCATCTTTTCGTCCTTGCTCTGTGCGCGCAGGATATCGAACGTCGAACCTTTTACAAAACGATTTCCATCAGAAAAATTATAGGAGATATAAAATGAGATATTATCAAGGATCATAAAAGGATAATAAAAAATGTATGCATAAAAATTAGTTATTTATTAATAAAATTATAAAATAATAAATAATTGCATAAATAAATGAATAATTGTTATAATTTTATAGTTTATAATATTTTTTTAACCTAAAACTAACATTTTTAACATTTTACAATATTTTTGTCTATGATACAATTTATTATTATTAATATTTTTAGCATAATATTTAATTTCTACAATTATTCGTTATTTTATTCGGTTTAATTGTTAATTAATTAAATTATTTACAGTAATAAATATTCAAACGTAAATTTTGCCTGTTGTTAACAAGTGAAAAATCAGGATCAAGATGTCCGACCGGAAATGAATGTGTTTTAGGCCTATTTTTGCGTTTTTTTTTTTTAATTTTTAAAATAATTTGCTTAATTTTGATTTTTGATTTGATATTTTTTAATTAAACCCTTGAGCTTTTTCTTCTTGGCGTGCATAAAGTCATTACGCATTGAAATCCTGATATTTTCTTGTTTCTCGTCCTGTCGACGGCGATAAGTCAGTCGTGGTGGATGCGCCGGATCAATAATTGGCGTGATTGTTGAATAACACTGGAGTCCTACCACGGCAGGATCAGGATCGATTGTTAACTGTTCTAAATCACCCTGTATAACAAAAAATAATAAAAAATTAATAAAAATTTAAAAAAAAATTAAATTTTCCGGAAAACTCACCGCAAAAAGATAACCTATAATCAAATCTGAATCTTCTGGAATGTCTAGGGATCCTACTCGAAGAATATTTGTCCTTGACCATTGACAATCCACATAGTTATCTACCACGGAATTATCTCGTATGCTATTTGGGTATAAATTATGTTTATAAATAAAGGATAAAAGGATAATTGTTGAATATGATTACCCAATTGAAATTTGATGCCATTTGTGATCATCTAGTCCTGCTGGGATCCTTACAACATCCGTACCATTAGAAGTGGCATGTATCAACTTCAAATCGCCTCCTGCGACCTCTAAGGATAAGTAAGTGTCCTGACGACGTCGTGATCTCAAACTGAAGACTGTTCCTAATGATTCCTTTAAGAAAAAGAGTTAAAAACACACAAAAATATATAATAATTGCATTTTAAGTATCAAGTGGCTAAACTGGACTTTTAGTCACGAGCGTTTAATGAATCGAGTGTTTTATAATGTTTAGCCACGTGATACCTACGATCTTTTTTTTATTTTTACAAAATTTCTACGTTTTGTGAGGTTATATTTTGCAGTATATGCAATCGCCACTCCGTGACTAAAACCCGTGACTAAAGTACTTTTTGGTAGTCCGAATTAAAAATACAACTTTTTGTATCCCAAAACTGTGGAAAATTATGCAAAAGTAAAAAAAAACTTTCAAAAATCCAAAACAAAATTAATAAAATATAAAATATTTACATTTAGGATTCTCAACGTGATGAAAAGCGAGAATTCCTTTGGAAATGACGCGTTGTTATTAAACAGTTGTGAAGATGGTAACCAGATGTAATTATTCGGTTGTAGACGCCATGCGGCAGGACGATCCGCAACTCTACGCCAGTGATCCTTCGAAGGATGATAGTACCGTGTCTCTTCGACTGTCAAAGGATTTACTGCATTCGCACAACTGGAATAAATGGATAAATTTAATTTTTAAATTTCTAAATTTTTATTTTTTAGTTTTTTGTTACTGATTCTGCCGGTGACAGGACCTGTTGGCTGAGGGAGTACTGAAAAGGATGCGACGCAAGCGAACGCAGCAATTCGTTCATTTGAATGCCGCGAAAGCCAAGGAAATTAAATTCCGTCACCGCCACCACCGCCACCGCCATTTCCATTTCTCATCCCCGCTAGAATTTTCCGCATTCGCCGCCCCCGAGTGCGGTGGTGAGACTGATTACACGACGAGTTCAACTTTAACTTGCATTTGCTATTCGCTTCAATATACAGTGTGTTGAATGTGTTTGTGTCAACACCCTGTATGTATTTTTTAATTTGCTTGCCTATTAGTGCAGTAGTTGAACGCGCTGCAGCGGAAATGAGGAAAACCGCAGGATTTAAGAAATGCAGGATGCGATTACGGGAGAATCTCCCGAAGGAAATGAAGCGCCGATGAGAAAATTATTAGATTGCTTTCACAGGACTGAAATCAGGACGAAATTCAATTTTTTACTAAAAAAATAAAAATAATTTACTAAGAAATTAATTATTTTTTCAAAAGTTTTAAATATATATTAATGAGTTTAGAAATTTAGTGCTTCAAAGGATTGCAAAGGACAAAAGGATTTTAAAAGGTCCTTGAAAGGAAATTCCAGCACTTTGATAAGCGAAATTGTTGTGTGATTTGGCGCATACCTAAACAGGTTGCAATGACGCTGCTCGACGTTAAATCCAGGACATTCCGCGTCCTCGCTCAGGAGACAACGACGAGTCCTTTGCTGGATGCCTGCCGCGCAGGATACACTACAGCCGGACCATTCAGACCATTTATCCCAGCCTGTGGAACAAAAATTAAAGAAAAAAATTTAAAAATTTAAAAATTAAAACATTAAAATGATAATTTTGTAAATTACATATGGCGGAACTCAATAATGACGTCAAAATTTGTATAAAAGTGATGCATTTAGTTGAAAACTTTTAATTTAATCTCAGAAAGTTTTATTTTGTTTGTTTGAGTAAGAATAGTTTGTTTGTTTGGCTGGATTTTGTCTTTTAGTCCTTTTCCACTGGCTTTCAAGATTCAGGACTTTAGCTTTATCTTTCACTCCTTGAAATTATCTCTTAGCTTTTCCTATTCTTATTTTCTTTTTTCTTTTCTTATTTTTATCTCACTTTTAGGATCAATCTGATGCTTTTTTTTTCTTTTTTGTCTCTTTGTGCTTTTTATCTTATCAATGCATTAAACAAAATTAAAAACAAAACTAAACCTAACCTAAAATATTATTACCTCAAAGAAAAAGTAAAAGGATTTTAATTTTTGATTAGATTTGCTTTCCTTAGGAGTAAAAAAGGAAAGAAAAAAGCACATAAACACAAAAAGTTGGAATTAATGCGCGCGGTCATAAATCTTGTCCTATATTGAGTTATCCCGTCTCTCCGCCTCTGCAAACCTTCTGCAAACGAGTTATCCTTTTAGTCCTGCCGGCAGCGCATCAACTAAGTAAGCATCATGTTAGCTGACGGCCCGGGGAAGATAAATAAATGAGAAAATACCAAACCAACAACACAAAACTCACAAAATTAAAAAAAAAAACGAAAAAAAGAAAAACTTTAAAAGTTAATTTTTTTATTAATTTACCTAAAGATGTCCATACGCGTTGATCTGTAGCTTCATCCCATTTTGCAATGGCGGTCGCCCGAAGTAACCCATCAAGGATTTGACAGAATACGATATACTCACGTGGTGTTACATCCTGTGCGTCATTACAATCAGCTACAGGACGACTGAATATCGTTACATTCACTTGTCTATAAATAATAATAAATATTTTATTGATTAAATAATTTTAGAGAAAATTTGGAGTTTTGTTGATTTTACCTATTAGTTGAGTATAGATGCAGATGATCAGAGCCTTTGTAGGTTGAGATGAGTTCAAAGTAGGCTGGATAGACGCCACGCTCGCCGGAATGGGTCGGGGGCGGCTGGTCGGCGCCACCGATGCCATTAGATCCGTCGCCGCCACTACCGCCGGCGCCGTTAGTGCTCAAACCGCGAAAGACGACGCTGGCATCGCGTGCGCTCTCCTCCACGCTCACTTGCTTTTCGGCGAAGTACTCCTCCAAATCGCAGCACCACCCCTTTTGCACCAATGTCAGTAGTAAGCACACAAACAACACAGAGTTTAATTTTATCATTTTAGGTTTTTTATTTGGTTTAGGTGAGTTAATTCATCATTTCTGAAACAAAAAGAAAAATTATTTGTTATGGGAGTTTGTATTAAGTGCAGAATAGCGGTCTATAATTTAGAAACATGATTTTTGATAGTTCTTTGGAAATAATTTGGAAACGCATAAAGATAAATACTTTTTTCTTTTATAGGTTGATTTAGAATTAAATTTTACATCGTATACATCGAAAATTGTAATGAAATTATTTAAATTAGTTTAATTATCATTGACTAAAGTTGACAAAATTTAAATTTTGATTTTTACATTTGTTTTGTTAATAACAATTAAAATATTTAACATACACATAAAATCAAAATACGATATAATGTAGAATTTAATTCCAAATAGCTCAGTAAAAAAATCGTAATCCTATCTAATTTATTAATTAAGTTATTAATAAAAAACTAAAACAAAAACACAAATTACATATTTTTATTCCGCTATAGACCGGCACTCTTAACATATGACATTTTAAAACTCTACAAAAACTTTAAATTGAAATAAAATTCAAATAACTTCAGAAACAAAGATAATTCCTGAAAGAACCTCTTATCAAAACACACGCACAAACACAACATTATCCCGTTTGTAATGAAACCTAGCATTTTCCGACTTCGGAAGGAAATGTATCAAGGATAATGCTCGGCACGCACGCACGAGTATTGTAATTGTAATCTACATGCTAATTACCAGGATAACAGCGATCGTGCCACGCAGCGAATGCGACGAGATGAAAAGCGATACCGCGGGGATAGGATGCGAAGTGAAGTGAAGCGTATTCGCATCGAGAGGACGATAATGAAAGGTCCTTGATGGGGAAACGTAAATGTGTAAACGAAATTGTTTTCCAACAATAACCCTCAAGTTACAGGGCGAGGATATACCCGGAAACTAATTTGAATAAAATATATTTCAAGGATACTTCAAGGATAATAAAAAATAATATAAATAAAAACGTTTTAATTTCATTTTTCGACTTTTTCAGGAGTTTTATTAAACTTTTTAAATTTAAAAATAATTTCATCACATTTTCTTTACGTTATCCTTTTTTCTGTGTGCAGAGGGTCGCAGTTACTGCACTTTTAAAGTTCACTAAAAGTTCGCAACAATTTCGCGCTAACTTTTTCTATATTTTCAGCGGGAATATTTTTTATTATCCTTTTTTATTATTATCCTGCATCACGTCGTACAAATTTATCTAAGGGATGAAAAGCCAAGTTTTCGCTTTAATACTCGTTCAAGATCAAGTTTCAACATTTCCAACGTATCCAACAATTCCGACAACTTTTTCAAACTTTCGTCCTTTATTTTTATTTTAAGGGTTGAAAATACAAAAAACCAAACGAGGTTATGTTTCCATTTAGAAAACGTTATGTTGCCTTCAATGCAAAAAGTTTTCCAACGCGTCCAAAACAAATAACAAAAGGAATTTTCCGGAAAACCGGAAAACCGGAAAAGTTTAAATTATCTATGTTTGAATTTTAATTTAAAAACATAAATAATTAAACGTTTCCGGAGATTAATTAAATTGAATTAATTATTATTAAAACGTACTTTTATCTGTAATCCACTTACTGCAAATTGCAATTTGCCGAATGAGAAGATAAAATTGTCGTGGGAAATTAATAGTCCTGGCGGTAATCCCGGTTCCTGCTTTTCCGCTTTTCCGGTTTTCCGGTTTTAGTTTTTAAGAGCGCGGGCACCACCGAACTTATAACGTGAATTTTCCACAGAGTCAATTAGTCATGTCACGTTAAATCCTTAAAGTTTCCATATCCGGGAAACAAGGATTTTCTCGCACTTTACGAACACTTTAAAACTTTAGACAAACTGGAGCAACACGAATGCAAATATTCAAACGTAAACACAACTATAAATCTTCAACCCACTTTACTCTTATGAATTTTTTTTTAATATTATCCTTATTATTTATTTATTATCCTTAAATTTTCATTAGATTTTCTTAAAAATTAATTTTTATGTGTTATTTTATTTTTTTGAGTGTTTAAAGTAAATTTCACGTAATATTTTGTTGAGTTTAAGAGCGGGGACGATGCGCACGCGATGAAGGACACCGCGAGACTGCCAGGATCCCGGCAGGATGCAGGATGCAGGATTGCTGGTCGAGTGGTACACGCATACGCTCTCGCTTGTCGACGTCGGGAATCTCACGCAACGCGCACGCCTCGCTCCCTCCCTGGACGGGCAGAGCAAGCAGGACGAACAGGACAAACGACAAATAGCATGCGTCAGGATTTACATTCATGAGATTCACGAAATCCCGACAAAAGAAACCAACAAAAGTGATAAACAAAAAGTTGCGCAACATGCACGCCAGAAAAAACGAAATTACTAAGGATCCTGCAGGACAACAGACATAAATTTTAGATGAGAAGATAGATAATTTAACTGGTTATAATATAAAATTTAAATATTAACAATATCAATATTTTTGGGGTTGTTATAAACAAAAAACTAAACAAAATCAAATCAATATTAAAAATTTAGTAACATGCTTGCTAAAAAACTAAATTACTAAAGATCCAGCAGGACTACAGACATAAATTTTTCACAAAAGGATAGATAATTTAATTGGTTATAATCTAAAATCTAAATAATAACAATATAATTATTATTTCGCCTGTTATAGGCAAAAAACTAAACAAAAACAAATCAAAACTAAAATTTTTTCATCAAGTTTCTTCTTACATTTTTCTCTATAACTCCAAAACTTTTAACCCCACAGACTTTTCCATACCATTAGTGTATAGAGAATTAAATCATCTTTCATAACAACTTCACTCAACAGCGAAACAAGGCCTAGTTCCTCTGTTATCCGACATTCGGTTGTGTTGCTTCCAACTTTAAAACGCGCTCGTCGGCTGTCGGCCGCGATTTTAATTTCGAACACGGAAAGCGTGCTGTAAATCGGGCGCCCGCCGCTAATAATTCAACTTTATCGCACTTACATAATCCCCCAACTACTACCCACTGCTGCCGCCCCCGTCGTGAACAATAAGTAACTTAAACTTTGCGCCGGGAAATGCGGTATCATGTCGACTACCACCTGACTTTGAGTTAACAAATTTGAATTATCCGCTGAAGGTGCGAACCACGGCGCTAACTTTACAAACCGCACCGGTGCCACAGGGGGTAGCTGCCAAAGTTGCCGGAAACACATTTCCAACATGGCGGATGCAGTAAAACAATAAAACAATTCAATTTACTTAAAATATGAGTTTTTCAATGGCTTTTCTTGCTTTTTTCTATGAAAAACGTTAAAAAATGTTGTTTTATAAACAAAACTAACAATATTTGTTGTTACATTTGTTTATAAACATTATTTTTAATGAAAAACAGTCATTTTAAGACTTTTACTGCCACCTAGCGGTGAAAACATAACTACCAGCGCTCTCTAGCGGCGAATATTGCAACTTAAAGTAAAATAAAAATTCCTGCTTTATAATAGAATGATTTAAATATTTATTACATAATTTCTCTTCTTTCTTTACAACAAACAAAAAATATTTACGGAAAAATAGATTACAATAGCGATAACAATAACAGCAAACAATAGAGTTGATCATTTGCGTAAATATACAGGGTGTTCGCAGAACACACACACATTCATTACATTCTAACCTCACTTTTAAACTAATTTCTCCAATTTCTTTTCACAGAGGCAATAAAAACGGCTCACAACGCACTCGGACACAAATCACACAATCACAAATCACTTATTGCTTACAATATAAGTTTAATAATTTTAGTTAGGTTAAATTAATTAAATTAATTTAATTATTGCGCGTTATGTCAATGTCTTTGACTCAACAATTCGTTTAACTCTATACGTATTGACTCTTTTTAGTGTTTTTAATGATGTGAAGTGGAAATATTAGCTAGTTGCGGTTTTGGCTGATTTTTTCGAGTTTTAGGTTAAGTTAGGTTAGATTAGGGTGGAAGTTGAGGGTTACGTGACGTTGTTGAGGATCCACGGCACGAATTTCGAGATGCGCGTGCATACACCGGGGAGATTGGCTTCTGCGCAACCGATGCCCCATGAGATGATGCCGGCGAGGAAGTAGCGGCCATCTTTGCCGCGGACTTGGAGCGGGCCGCCGGAGTCGCCTTGGCAGGAATCCTGGCCGCCGTTTTCGTGGCCGGCGCAGAGGAAGATCTCGGGGATGAATTCGTGGCGGCCGGCACGCAGGAACATGCTTTTGCAGCGATCGTTGCTTACGATCGGCACTTGCACCTAGAAATACATGTTTTAGGTTAGGGTTTGTATCATAACCTGACTATATATGCTACTAGTTGTATTGCTAACTTCAAAAATCATTTAAATATAGTTAGAATTGAGCTAGGGCTTTGAATTTGATATCAAATGATAGATAATTTAATTATCTTTAATATGAAAACAAAATATGATAAGTTTAATAATTATTTTCAAGATGGCGGACAAAAAAATATAAAAAATCATATTTTTCATATTAAAAATGCGAAATTTTTACTTTTTTTTACTTACTTCTTGTAAAACAGATGGTAATGTACCACCTTCACTCAACCGCCCCCATCCTGTGACAGTGGCATTCTCCCCAATGAGCAAATCGTCTGATGCTGGCAGACAAATGGGTCTGATATGATTGGCAAACTCTAGTGGTTTGTCTAGTTGAACTAATGCCAAATCATATTCGTAGGTGAAGAAATTATACTTTGGATGGACCACTTTGCGTGCAACTGATCTCTCTACGTAGGGTAGTTCTTCCTGTACACTGGAAAAGTCATATTCGCCGACTCTGATGCGAATTTGAGATGTTAACAAACTAAAAATAAGAAAAACACGTAAAAATTTAGAAGAATATTTCTGAATATAATTAAAAAAGTGAAGTTTTAGAGCTGATAGCTCTAATTTTGAAGTTTATACTAATAATTTGTGATAGATAATTTAATTACCTTTAAATTTGTAAAAATATTTGTGTAATAAATTAAAAACTGTAAAAGTTATTAACAAAAAACTGCAAAAAAGCATTTTTCTCGTTTTCGTTTTCAAAAAAGTTTATATTCATTTCATATTCAAATATCTTATTGATATCTATTTTAAATATAATGACGATATACATCATTTGATAGATAATTTAATTGACTTCCTAAAACGGTTCTCAAATTACTTGTGCGTTAAAAATTACTAAAGTTATCGCCAAAAAACCAAACTTATTTTAATGATTCAATAAAAATATGCAAAGTTATGCAAAACTGAGCGTTTTATCACATTACTTTAAATTCCCCGCACGTCCTTTTCTTTTTTCTGTTTCTCCCGATGGAAAATCGTCAAACGTGCACTGCAAGATGCAAATGCGCACGTTTAACGATTCCACCACTCGGTAGAATATTAAAAATTTAAACCAACCTCAAGGAATTTATTCATTAAGTTAATATAATATTTATTCAGATAAAATGTTAAAACTTTAAAACAATAAATATGCTTAAACTCTTGTTGTTAAAATGTAGTTTAATGTAATTGTGCTATAAAGTAGCCTGGGTAGAAGACAATAAACATTTGCGTTGTTCACAGGATGAGGACAGGGATATTGTGGGGTGGTTGCAGTTTCGGGAACGCAGCGCAGGGTGAAATGTGCGAATTGTGCAGAACGTGCAGTTTAATTTAATGCGAACGCGGCGGAAAATGCAAGGGGTTCTACAATGTCGTTTATTCCTGTTATCCTTGGGTATTTTCGTCCTGTTTGGGTCTTGGCTGTTTTATGTCGTCGATTTTTATATGAAAATTTAAGTTTTACTTACTCATCAACGCAATGTCCGGCGGTTGCTATCCAATTTTCATTCAGGATTGCGCCTCCGCATCTATGGGTGGACGAGAAACCAAAAAAGGATGTCCTTCTGACTGATACCTATGAAAATATTTGATTTTATTAGAAAATGGAAAAAATTGTTGAATAATAGTGCTTTATATTTTATAATTAATGAAATTAATAATTGGTGCGTTTCAGGTAAAAATTATTTAAACAAAAGACACGCAGAATTTATTTGTCTATAAAATGAAGGCCAATTTGTTTATTTATCTTTAAAATTGTTTAAAATATTAAAGAAAAACTAAAAAATTAAAAAAAATATAAGAATTTGCTTTTTCAAGAAATTGTTTTGAATTTTCACATAACGATAACTTTTTAAATAAAAATGTTACAAAATTATTATTTAAACAAAAGTTATAGAGAATTTATTTTCATATAAAACAAAGTTATGATTGTTTATGTATCTTTAAAATTGTTTAAGATATTAAAGAAAATGTTATAAAAATCAAAATTAAAATTTTGTCATTAAAAAAAATATTTTTTAAATTTCAATTAACTATAACTTTTTAATTATAACATTCATGACAAAATTATTTAAATAAAAGATGTTATCAATTTAAAGATTTATTCACCAGTTTTTAAATAAATTATCTATCTAATTGATTTTAGAAGTTACAAGCAAAAAAAAAACTGTATCATAAATTTTTGCGTCAAAATAAAATTTATATTAATACTTCCAAAACGTGTTTCATCCATGAAATAATATATTATATAAAATATTTACATAAAATATGCGTAGATGGGTTATTTATGCTCTGGCCTTTGATGCGGAAAATTAGTTTTCGTAATGCAAAATGCAAAATAATGCGAAATAATATTAATGTCCTTGGAAAAATCGAAACGCGTGTAATTCGCAGCTTTCGAACGCGAAACACGGAAACAGCGCGCGACGGGGGCGGGCGCGGCGGCGGCGTTCGCGAGGAAATTTATGGCAATGAAAGGTCGATAAATCATTAACGCGAAATTGATTTCGACACTCGCGCAGCCGCATAAATTTCCATTTCGAAGCCGGATTTCGATTTCGAATTACACAAAAGTGAATTACAACATTACAACACTCTCAAAATACATAATATACAATATATAATAACAAATTGGAAACATTTATCTTCTTTTATTTATGTTTTGTTAATAAATTGATTTGTTTACCTGCCATGGCCATCTTCCAAACGGAGCATTTTTTCCACCAACAATTCTTGTTTGCGGTTGGGGAAAAAGAGGCGGTTGACCACATCCTGTCAAAATATTATTTATCTTGAGTAAATTGAAGCAAAATAAAAGTGAATGTTTACCTGAACTATCAGCGCTTGCAGCTGAAACAGTACTGAAGGTGCTGGTCTGCATTAATTCAGGAGCCAAGGATACTGGGTCCGACGCGGGACTTGGCGTTGTCGTAGTAGTCCTTGTTTTTGTTATTCTTAAAACAAAAATTTATTTAGATTATATCAAAATATTATATTATAGAAAATTAAACTTAGGTTGGAAATTATAAATCTATTTCTCTCTATATTTTTTTATTTACAAGATATTCGCAATTGAAATTGATCGTCAAAAATTGAAAAATGTCACTTTTTAGCACTTTTAGTCGCGTTTTTCGACTCTTTACTCTAAAAAATATATTTATTTTATATTTTTATCTGATGGAGAATCTTCCACTCTTTCATAATCAGCAATTTGTTGGATGCTATCGCTTTTAGTTTAAAAGATATGAATTATTGAAAATCGTGGAAAAAAAGTATCAAGCACCCCCCCTTGGCAATTTTTTCTTAAGAATGAAAATTTTATCTCTCAGATTTCCGTTTTAACTAGCCTATCTTATAGAGCATAATCCGTAGATTAAGACGCTGCGATCAGATCTTAATTATCTCTTTTAGTTTACGAAATATTCGCATTTGAAAAAAATGGGCAAAAATTGGAAAATGTCACTTTTTATCACTTTCAGTCGCATTTTTCGACCTTTTCCTGTGGGAAATATAATTATTTTATATTTTTATCTGATAGAAAATCTTCCATTCTTTCATAATCAGCAATTTGTGGGATGCTATTGCTTTTAGTTTAAAAGATATGAATTATTGAAAATCGTGGAAAAAAAGTATCAAGCACCCCCCCTTGGCAATTTTTTCTTAAGAATGAAAATTTTATCTCTCAGATTTCCGTTTTAACTATCCTATCTGATAGAGATTAGTCCGTAGATTAAGACGCTGCGATCAGATCTTAATTATCTCTTTTAGTTTACGAGATATTCGCATTTGAAAAAAATGGGCAAAAATTGGAAAATGTCACTTTTTATCACTTTCAGTCGCATTTTTCGACCTTTTCCTGTGGGAAATATAATTATTTTATATTTTTATCTGATAGAAAATCTTCCATTCTTTCATAATCAGCAATTTGTGGGATGCTATTGCTTTTAGTTTAAAAGATATGAATTATTGAAAATCGTGGAAAAAAAGTATCAAGCACCCCCCCTTGGCAATTTTTTCTTAAGAATGAAAATTTTATCTCTCAGATTTCCGTTTTAAGTAGCCTATCTTATAGAGAATAGTCCGTAGATTAAGACGCTGCGATCAGATCTTAATTATCTCTTTTAGTTTATGAGATATTCGCATTTGAAAAAAATGGGCAAAAATTGGAAAATGTCACTTTTTAGCACTTTCAGTCGCATTTTTCGACCTTTTCCTGTAGGAAATATAATTATTTTATATTTTTATCTGATAGAGAATCTTCCAATCTATCATAATCAGTAATTCGTTGGTTGCTATCGCTTTTAGTTTAAGAGATATGAATTATTGAAAATCGTGGAAAAAAAAGTATCAAGCACCCCCCCTTGGCAATTTTTTCTTAAGAATGAAAATTTTATCTCGCAGATTTCCGTTTTAACTAGCCTATCTTATAGAGCATAATTCGTAGATTAAGACGCTGCGATCAGATCTTAATTATCTCTTTTAGTTTACAAGATATTCGCATTTGAAAAAAATGGGCAAAAATTGGAAAATGTCACTTTTTAGCACTTTCAGTCGCATTTTTCGACCTTTTCCTGTAGGAAATATAATTATTTTATATTTTTATCTGATAGAGAATCTTCCAATCTATCATAATCAGTAATTCGTTGGTTGCTATCGCTTTTAGTTTAAGAGATATGAATTATTGAAAATCGTGGAAAAAAAGTATCAAGCACCCCCCCTTGGCAATTTTTTCTTAAGAATGAAAATTTTATCTCTTAGATTTCCGTTTTAACTAGCCTATCTTATAGAGCATAATTCGTAGATTAAGACGCTGCGATCAGATCTTAATTATCTCTTTTAGTTTACAAGATATTCGCATTTGAAAAAAATGGGCAAAAATTGGAAAATGTCACTTTTTAGCACTTTCAGTCGCATTTTTCGACCTTTTCCTGTAGGAAATATAGTCATTTTATATTTTTATCTGATAGAGAATCTTTCAATCTATCATAATCAGCAATTTGTTGGATGCTATCGCTTTTTGTTTAAGAGATATGAATTATTGAAAATCGTGGAAAACAAGTATCAAGCACCCCCCCTTGGCAAATTTTTTCTTAAGAATGAAAATTTTATCTCTCAGATTTCCGTTTTAACTGGCCTATCTTAAAGAGAATATTCCGTAGATTAAGACGCTGCGATCAGATCCTATTTATCTCTTTTAGTTTACGAGATATTTGCAATTGAAACATCAAAACATTCAATTATATCTGCATTTCATTTTATTTTCAAATAACTTAACTAAAAATTACACTTACTTCGGTTTTGGCGTTGTAGTTGTCGTTGTCGTAGTAGTACTAGTCGTCGTGGAAGTCGTCGTGGTTGTTTTGGTATATTTACTACCACCTTTCTGCACCGTCGTGATAACAATCGGCTTCTTCGTCGGCTGCTTCGGTTTGAAACTAGTTGGCTTATAACTCGGTTTAGTCTTTGCTTTCGTAACAAACGTCGGCTCCGTAGTAGCCTGCCATCCAACCGACGCCGGTTTCCCATTTCCACCGCCTCCTAACCCTGCATCACTACTCCCACTGATGGAATTAACCTCTAAAGATTCAGTTGTCTGTTGCCATGTGTGTTTCGTAGTTGACGCCCCTGGCTTACCGCTCCAATGATGCGGCTTTGTATAATGCCCAATATTGATTGTGTTGGCTTGTGCCAGCCCTCCATCCTGTGATTGTGTCTGTCGCTGTGGCGGAGGCGGCGCTGTGGCGACAGAGGGACGTGGCCGGTGATGTGGGCGCGGTCGACTAGTGGACGTGGGCCGTTTGTGGGCCTGACTAGGAGGAGTGTAGAGGATCTGCGGCCGTGGATACGTGTTGGGCGAGGTGTATGTTGAGGGGGCTTGGCCGGGGGCGGGCAGGGCGTTTGTGGAAGAGTTGTGGGCACAGCAAGAACCAAACATAAAGGAATCCACGCACATTCCGATGTGATAGCCTTCGGATTTGATGCATTCGTAGACGAACATGCAGGTGCCTTCCACGCCGTCGACGAAACACGGCTTTGGGGAGATTTGGTAACCCTGCCCACGTTGCACCGCTCCTTCAGCCTCTGATGGCCATGATGTGCACGAGAGGACTGTGCTCAGGACAACCCAAAGCATGCTTAGACCTGAAAATTTAAAATTATACTTTAAAATGTGATTTTGTTATTAAATAGATAAGATAGGGAAAAATTATTTAAATAAAAATTGTGTAGAATTTAATTGTCTATAATCGTGTTTTTAAATAAATGTTTCATCTTAAAATTTGTAGAAGTTATCAATAAAAATATAAAAAAAGCAACGTCTGAAATTTATTTGCGTTACAATTAGTTTACTTTGATTTTTCGCTTAAATTATGATTTAAATATTATAACTACGTACAAATTATTTAAACAAAAGTTTTAGAGAATTTAATTATCTTTCTAACTATGTATTAACATTGGCATTATCTTTAATACTTATTAAAATATTTTAAAAAATCTAAAAAAATAATAATATATTTTATAAAAAAACAAGATTTTTTAATGTTTAATAACTTTGTTTATAGTTATTATAAAATCATTGTTCAAAAACTATTTTTCGTCAAATTTAATTGTTATTACAGAAATATTAACATCACAATTGTATCTTATAAACTTAAAAAGTTATTAACAAAAAACTAAAATATTTCAAACTTGCCAATTCTAAACTCTTGCAATTATAAATTTTAAAGTCGTAATAACTCGTTGACATCACAACCTAAAAAAGATTATTATACATAATCTAATGCGCAATTTGATCCTCTTCCATCCAAGCTATAATTTGTCATGTTCGCCAACATATTACGTCAATTACATGCCAGTAAACTAAATAAAAGCATAGCGAGCGATTTAATGTCGAAAGCGTCGAAAGTATCGAAAAAAAAAGAATGTAGGCAACTAAGACAAGTAAGACGATGCTCATTAGCCGATGCGCGCGCGCACACACACGCGAATTGGAATTAAAATCGCAATTAGCGTCCGGCGGGCGATTCGGATCTACAAAATCGGAACAACGGCTAAACACATCAATTACGCTGCGCCGATTCAATTCGGAGACCATTTGGGTCGGCCGCACCGCACTAATTATATCATTTGACTAATTGTTACGGAGCGCGCAAGCAGCAACCGGCATAAAGAGATCACAAATTAGCGAAATGGCGGACGTAGAGTAAACACCGGCGAACCCTGAGCAAAAAATTAAAAAGCGAGCAAAACGCGTGATTTAAACTTTAAATATAGAGAATAAATTATGTAAAGTTATTTAGAATTATGGGTAGCATTATTATTTGTGGTAATATATAATTATTTGTTTATTTATATTGTATTTTACGGAGTATTATGGAAAAATCTGCATTTGTTTGGATTTTTTTGTATTTTTTGTTAATAACAAATTGTATATTGCAATTACAACAAATATTATTGCATAATATTAAAGTGCATTAAATTCTTAATCTATATTTGTTTAAATTTCTTATTTATGAATAACAGTTTTTGAGTTATGACGATTTAAAGTTGACATATTATTGATACTTCTGTATACAAAAATAAAAATTGAAAAATGCGCAGTTATTCTTTAATAACTTTTTTATTTATAAACCAAATTCAATTGTTTAAACACATTTATACAGATAATTTAATTCTCTTTTAAAAAATGTATGACTTGTGGAACAAATAGTAATTTTACCTCTATTCATTTATAAAAAAGCAAAAAATTAAAAAATTAAATCAAAAAAATTATTTCCCAACTTTAAACTGAAATAATTCCTAAACTAATCAATCTAGGAATACTTTCTAAACGCCAATCTAATCAACATTTAACGTACTTTCTTGCCGAGTATGCGCGGTGCTCTTGATCGCATTCACTAATTAGTAAATAACAAAAATTAAGTACAGCGCCGAAATTATCTCAAACAATCCGCATGCACCGCTTCAAAAAGTAGCACTGAACGCACCGGAATGGACAAATTCTCGAAATAATTAACTCGTTGCTGGCGATTGCATGTGCACCGAAGTGAGATGTAACTTTCTATCGGCGATCCGCATCTGCCGGCCGCTTGTCTGAGCAAACAGCAAACAGCAAACAAGGAAGATAAGTCATGTGCGTTTCTCAATCGGCTGCGCCTGCCTCCGCCGCACGAAATCTCATGTTGTTATGTTAAATTCGTATTTATCTTGTAATCGCGCATGTAATACGTTTAGCGTACGTATTATTACGTTTGTTACATTCACAGCAACGGAGCGCCCGGGCGAACTACTCATACATATTCATTACGCACTCAAAATTGAAATGTAAACACGCGCAAGACGATCAATATGTGTGACTAACCTCGAAAACTTTACAACGGGCATGATTGTTTAATATAACCGGTAGTAAAATAGAATTTTAGCATTTAAAACGCGTAAAATGCAAAAAAATCAAAAAATTTAATTTTTTTTGTTTAAAAGTAAACTTTAATAATTTATATCTCAAGAATAAAAAAAGATAATTACATGGTCTTTCCACTATCTAAAAGTATTACTATTAATGGTATTACTGTAATTTTTTTGTTTAAAAATACTCATAAATAAAGGAGATACAAGCATTTTAGTGAAAAGTTTAATAAAAATAAAAATAAAATTGAGACGTATTTTTTTAAAGCTAAATTTTAATAATTTATATCTCATAAACCAAAAATGATAATTACATAAATCTTCTACCATCCGAAAGAATAACTATTAAACATATTACCGTAATTTTTTTGTTTAAAAATGCTCATAAATACAGGAGGTACAAGCATTTTAGTAAAAAGTTTCATAAAAATAAAAATAAAAATAAAACTGATACTTCTTTTAGTTCGGAGTGTAATTGCTTTAATTATAATTAAATTTTCATTAAACTTAAAACCTACTGAACCAACACCTCGTGTACAAGAGGAACGTGTTGGTTGGGCTGCAATCGAAACGTTAATTTTCCTTTCCTTTTCGTTTTTCGTGCGTTTCGTGCGTCGGGCGCGCAAAAATAAAAACTCGACTTGAACCGGCGGCATGATTGACTCAGGCGTGCGTGAGGAGGCATGCTGTCTGACCTACTGGAACATTTTTTCAATAATAATTATTGCTACAAATGGCGCGGCAACAAAACGTCAACTGACCATGAAACGCATTATTAGACGATGCAATCGCATGGAACTCAACTATTTACAATTATTTACATTTTTTATTTTGGATTTTAAACATGTTAGAATTGATATTTATAATGTTTATTATATATTGTTTGATGCACAATTTAATAAGCTATCACTTACAGTTTATTTTGGTAAAATTTGATTAAAAATCAAAAAGTTATTGACAAAAAACTGTAAAAAAGCAAAAAATATATTTAAAAATATTTTTTAAAAAGTGTACTTTTTTTGTTTAACGTTTCACATACAACAAATAATACTTTTATAGGTTGTTATACATTATTAGATGAGTAATTAAATAAACTATCAGATACCGTTTTATTCATTTAAATTGAATTGAAAACTAAAAAGTTATTAACAAAAAACTGCCAAAAAACAAAAAAGTCAATTTTTACAATTTCCAACTTTAAACCGCAATATCTTATTAATAAGTTAAACAATTTCAACTTTTCTTTTACCTAAATTATACAGAATTTAATAATCTTTTAAATAATGTATGTGTTCAATAAATAAAATATAAACAATTGCGTGTAACATGCAAATAAACTCGCGTGTGTTAATAAAAACGATCAAGTCTCATTAGTGTCGAGCTAAAGCGAGGTGCTAATTGATAATTACTCGCGTGCAAATCATTTGCAAACATTATAAAATTATTAGATAAGGTTATTCAACTGTTAATAGCACGTAATATACATTTTTTCCAATTTTTTCTTTCGGAGACTTCAATGCCCAATTTTTTCCTCAAAAATTTCTACATTTTCTAAACACCGATGAAATTAAAAATAACTGACCCTATTGCAGCATTCTCGAAAATGCAGGTCAATCGTTCCTAGCGTGAAAATGCAATTTTTCGCCTCGTGCTGTGTGCATGCCTAATGCGAGAATGTTCGCGGCGAAGGCGTCGATGAAACGCGCCGAAACGTCCGGCCGGCGAAAAAGCGAATTCGCCACGGAATTTATTATTATTTTATCTCGGACACATCTTCAATGCTCAATGGCGCACATTATGGCATATAAAGCGCATTCGAAATATTCATTTGCACTCACTAGACATAAAGTACGTTTCATTTGGCTGTGGAGAGTCTGGCTACGACTTTCTAAACTTGACAAACTTTTTATTTCGTGAATATTAAGTGTTTATGTTGGATATCAAAGTGGAGCCTGGACTACAAGTGACATCAGCTGCGCGTTTATGGTCAATTTTAATGCGGAATTATGGGCAGATGATAAATGTTGGAAATGACTTGAAATGATGAATGGATGGGAAATTTAATGTACTTTCCAAAAATGTTTTGTTTGAAAGTTTTGAGTGAAAATGTCAAAAGTTATTGATGAAAATGTAGAAAAAATCAAAAATTTTGTAAAAAAAATGTTATTTGTACTTTGAACTGCAAGAATTCTTATGTAAATTAAGATTTTATTTTGATTCGACTCTAATTGTATTAAGAATTTAATTTTGTTTATAAAAATATATGATTGTTGATATTTTGAATAATATTTAAACAATTTATTAGCAAAAAACCAAAAATATTGCGTTTTATTTAATGTACTATAAAGTATAATATTTATCATTATTTAAAAACGGTATAACTTTGTAACAAATAAAGCTACAACTTTGTAATTTTGCTATTTTATGGACAATTTAATATACTTCCAGAAACCGTTTAGTTTAATTAGATTAAAGTAACTACAAAAAAGTTATAAGCAAAAGTTTAAAAATATTCCAATTTTCTTCAGAAATTACACTCCGCAACTTCAACGCAACGTAATAACTTTTTAAGAATGCAAGCTACAATAGTCGTTTTTACTGTAATTAGTTTATAATTTAATGGTTTTGAAGAAATTACATTACTTTACATAATTTATTGATCGTAACTATGATTAAATCGCATAAAACCGACAAAAACGCTGTTAAACGCAGAAAATGATTAAAATAACTGGAAATTT